GCTGATTGTTACCATTTTCATATAATCATATTCCCTTCGTGGGTAAAGAAGTTAAGAAAAAAACCATCAAGTCTGTTTATATCATTGAATTGCAATATGTAAAAGTCCTACCATTGTACCCTGATTCTTGATTGACTTGTCTCTCAGGCTGCTTCATCAAGACAAATCGCTGCACGCGCATGGTTTGCACTAACCACCTACACAGTGATCTCTGCTTCTGTAAGTTCTCTCACACTGGCATTCAGTCCTTTTTCTTTGTGATGCTATACATGTTCCTGTGCAGTAGTAACGTTTATGTCCATGTCTGCATTATGCGCATCCCTTGCTGTGGGGGCATTTTTATCAATGCTTGGTATTTTTCAAATTGCATGGAGAACAGCATGTCACTATAACTTTGTATGCTACACACTGTATAATGTAGTTGACTAATATAGGAATCTTGTGTTGGGCTTCATTTCTTGCCAACTTGTACATAGTTGGGTACAATCAAATGAATTTGACTGCTAAAGATCATGTGGATATGGCAGCAGACTTCCTGATCATATTGCCATTGTGTTAGACTCCCTCCAGTCACAGATACTTGATGTCTTGGACAATGATGCAGTCCCTAATGTGTAGCTTTGACCACTCTTTTTTATTAGGATATTTAGAAAATCCAATATTTTGGTGATATTGTAAAAGTATTTTTTTTTCCATTGAGAATTGAGAATCCACATGTATGGTGTCGGAATGTCTTATTTAAAAGTCATTGATATTCAAAGATTCAAAAAAATATACTACGGCCCTGTACAGATGGTGAAGTATTTTTAACTGGAAAGAGTAGTTCTGTAGGTTGTTTTTGTTTCCTTGGGCAGCACTACTTGGGCAATTCATGGCAAAATGATCCATATCATGCTAAGCCCCTTGGTGTTGCTTAGCAAGTCAAGCTTGCCTAAGGGTATGTTTGGCTGAGGTGTGGCTTTTGTAAAAGTTGTTGTGAGTTGTGGGCTGTGGAAAATCTGTTGTGGGTTGTGAGCTGTGAGAGAGCTAAAAGTCGTTTGGTTGAACTTGCTTTTGGAAAAGCTGCTGTCAGTGGGCTTGACATGTCATTAGTGACCCCACATGTCAACCACCAAATACATATTTCTCCGTTTTTTCCTACGCGTTTCTTCCTCGGTCATCGTGGATCCGCACGTGAGGAAGAAGAGGAGGCCGACGAGGGTTCTCGGGGTCGCCGGCAAATGGGCGCCAAGCGGAGTATTGGGGTGGCGGAGCTTGGGGCCGCCGTGCTGCCCATCTCCGTCGCAACCTCCGTCGGCATGCCGTTAACCTGGGCCTGTGCTCGAGGGAAGCTGGTGTATGCGATTGCCGCAGGGAAGCCGGAGAAGGGTCGTCGTCCCAAAGCCGAAGAAGGGGCCAACCGCGGGGTACCCGAATAGGGTGGCTGGCTAGGATCCAAGCAAGCAACCTGATGGAGAGGGGCCGGTGCGGGGTTGCCAGATTGGGGCCGTCATGGGGAAGACGGAGAGGGGTGTCTGTGTGTTCACTGGAGAGGTGCGGGAGGAGCGCTGCCGCCGCTGCTGGGACGAGCGTTGCACTGCCGCTGCCGCCCTAGAACCCGAGAGGAGCGCGGACTCGGTTCTTTGCACGGATGGGCAGAGGTGCGGGAGGAGTGCCTCCACTGCCGGGAGGAGCGCCTCTGCCGCCGCCCTGGAACCCGGGAGGAGCTTGGGTGCGGCTCTTCGCGCGGATAGGGATAGGAATCGCGAGAAAGAACCAACCGGTACATAACATAATGAGTGGCAGGTGGGTAATTTTTGCGAAAACTTTGATCTCAAAGCCGGTAGAAGCAAGTCCCTAGCTGTTGTGAAAATTGTACTAGGAAGAAGATGCTTTTTGTGTAGAACTTGAGAGGAAGCTAGGCCCTTTGGTTTGCTTTTGGCTTTTCCAGTAGCCAAAGCATGTTTGGAAGCCAAACCAAAGAGACCATAAGTCTTGTGGCGAAGTGATGAACCAAACACCTCTCATGCCATCATTTTGAATGTCATTGCCATGTTCCAATATTTTCTATAGTATTCATGTTTGTGCTTATCTAGGTGTGATCTCAGCAGCATGATAGAATGCATACACTTTGTTGGAAGTGCTAGGCTTATAATAGCATGGTACCAGTTTGACATTTTGTTAGTTGCCAAAAGCAATTCAAGAAATTTGGGTTGACTGGGTTGCAGGTTGGGGTCAAGGGTATCTAAAAACTTGGGTCGAACAGGGTAGTTTGGAATGAGGGATGGGAACCCCAGTCAATCTGGGTCAAATCAGGTCGATCGATGAGCCATGATATACCACACATAAGTAGTTGTAGAAGATCAATACAAAGTAATACCAAAAAAAAAAAAACGAAGAAGACAATAAATTGGGCAATGTATGCTGGCCCATGGAGCTGCTGACCCACCTAATGTAACCCTACGGGACTCGGGAGTCATGTTCATGCACACAGCTGCCTTTTTCCTCGTGCCTTGCTCCTTGTTTCTCTTCTCAAGCAACCCAGTGCTGCTAGCCACAAATCAACTGCTGGTTACCAACATCTCTAACCAGGCTGTAATGAAATTGATTGCCCATGGTGTTCCCTTTTTTGTGTTTCCAATTTCATTGTCATATGCTTAATTTTGCGTCAGCTATTGCTGCTCCCAAAGTTGCTTGGTCCTGTCCGCCGTTGCTGGTAGTCCTCTTCAAAGCTGGCTCTCTCCCATTTCCCCCTTCACACCTCTCCCCTGTTCCTCAACTCAGGACTTTTGATCCATGGTGTGCTGCTACAGTGAACTGTGACCCAGGCAGAATCAGGATGTCCACCCTGCTTGACTCCAACCCTTGATTTGGGAACGTTCCATTGACCCCAATCCATGTGACTGTGACCCTGACCCCACATTTTGTGGGAGTTTTCAGCACTCAGTCAGTGTGTCTGCCCTTTTGTTGCCAAAATCAACTCATATTATGTCAATATATCCATGTTAAATGAACGAACTACAAATATGAGTAGAACTGGTGCCATCACCACGTGCTGCACGACGTGCATGATAATCAGCCAACTTATTTGGATAGTGAACAAAGCAATTTTCTGAACGATGAGAAGCCTTCTTGCAATGCTCACAAGGCTCAGAGGTGGTGCCCTTCACTGTGGTCTTTTGAGAGGCCACGAGAACACTGAGGTACTAATACAGAAGGTGACAAAGAACTAAGATGTGTCTCTTCAGCAATGAAGGCAGACAATACATCAGCACTGGATGGAGTGGTGGGAGCATTTAGCAACTGCTTACGAATAAGCTCAAAATCAGACCACAAGCCATGGCAAAACTGATATATGAGAAATTTCTCAATGAACTTGTTCTTTTTAGCACAGCATCCGGAACACCCTTGTTCACACTTAGGAACCATGGAGAGAAAAGGTCTACCACACGATCAAAGGCAGTGTAATACTCCTCTATGGACATCTCATTCTGCTGAAGTTCATGAAGTCCTTGCATTAGTGTAAGCAGAAGAGCACCACTATTCTGAAAATCTGAATATATTGTCCCTGCAAATAGTCCCACATATCCTTAGCAGACTCATGGTGCTCAAGGCTCATAATTAATGAGGGCTCCATGCTGGTGACAATGTCACTCATGACACGTTCGTCATCATTAGTCCAAGCCATGACTGCAAGACCGTCCTTTGACTTGTCAACTGGAGAGTTTGTCAAATGAGAGGCAAGACCGTGGCCCGTCAATATAGTTTTGACAGAAAATGCCCACTCACGATAGTTAGACGTACCATCAAGTTTCATAGGGAAAACAATAAGATTGGCCTGATTGTGATATGTGCAAGTACCAACAGCAGAAGGCTACAGACAATCACCACTTAACAGCGCCAGAGCAGTCCCAGCAGAACAGAGCACCAGAAGCAAGCAAGCAGCATTGTCAACACAAGCAAGACTGTTGGCTTGAAGCAGAGGAAGTGAGCCCTGCACACACACAGGTCACAGACAACAGATGAAGAGACTTGGAGAGTGGCATGCGCAGGCACATGTACGAGTGCATGGAGGAGGGCTCATACGGATGAAGTGTCGTGCATGGACATGCCCGCAGACAGGCGGACTGGCAAACCTCTCTGCGAATGAAGACAGCGGGCAAACAGAGGGCAGTGTCGGCGACGAGTCACATGGGCGGAAGGCGCGGCGATGGCCGCACAAACAGAGGATGGATCCAAGGAAGAAAAGATTGTGGATGAATTAGATATCCTAACCCTAATCCATGGTTTTGATACCATGTTACTAACCTTGGGGACTTGAGAAGGTAATAACTTCATTAGTGGGGATGACTATATATAGAGAGCCTCATGGGCCTATATGAGATGGGCTTTCATATACTTAACATTTCTCTGCAGCATGCTGTTTCTCCCTGGTTTTGAATTTTTAGGAACCAATTTTTGGCAACTGTCGGAGATAGGCAAAAAATTGCTCCCTACTTATTTTGGCCAACCATTTGGCAAGTATTTTGTTAAGAAGCTCTTGGACATGCTCTAAAGCATAGTTTGGGACCTCTGTCTATCAGACAGCATTATCAGTTATAGATAGTGCATGTTGTGATAAATGGGACAAAATGTTTGAGTTTGCAATATACTCCCTTTACTTACAACATTTCCATTTTGTTGGGAAATGATATTTCACAATGATTGCCATTGATTGAATGTCATCCTTGCACAGTTGTCTATCTAATCTCTATGAAACTATTGTTACTTTGTGAAATGGCATTCGAAACATTCGAGTTCATGATGTGCAATTTATTTGCTAATAACATTTGCTTTTCTTATTCTTCCATAACTTGCAGGACCCCACATGCCTTAGGCTCTTTCTGCACCGAAAGAAGTGAATTGATTCAAGGTGTTCATATACTTTTTGGATGGTTTAAGAAAGGACCTGGAAGCATTGTGTGGCTAACATTTTTGTCTGACAGCGATTGATTTTGGGAACCAATTCGGTGATCAGTACAATGGAGTGCGACAGAGAAGAGGCCTTGAAGGCCAGGGAAATTGCTGTTAAGAAGTTGGAAAACAGAGATTTTGTTGGTGCTAAAAGGATTGCCCTTAAAGCACAGAGGATTTTTCCAGAGATAGAGAACATACCCCAGCTGTTAACTGTCTGTGAAGTACATTGTGCAGCAGAAGCAAAAGTAAATGGAATGTTGGACTTTTATGGAATTCTCCAAGTAGAAGGGACAGCGGATGAGGTGACCATAAAGAAGCAATATCGTAAGCTTGTCCTCTCACTTCACCCTGATAAAAACAGTTATGCTGGTGCAGAATCTGCTTTCAAGTTTGTCGCAGAAGCATACTCAACATTGGCTGATCGAACAAAACGATATGCATATGACATCAAATGGAGGGCTGCTCCCAAAATTGCCCCAAAGCAGGCTAGACAACCGAAACAGGCTGCAGAACCAACTCGGGCTACACAACCGAATCAGGCTACACAACCGAAACAGGCTGCAAAACCAAAGCATGCTGCTAAACCAAAGCAGGCTGCACAGCCAAAGCAGGCTACACAACCAATGAGGACTACAGAGCCAATTAACAAAAATGACGCAAATAGAAGTAATACAGCAGGATATGGGCCATCAGGTTCAACACCCACCGATGGGTGGACATTTTGGACCATATGCATCCACTGTACAACAAAATATAAGTACCATGGTGACATACTCAATCGTCAGATCCGCTGTCAGAACTGCAGGCAAAATTTCTTTGCACACCAGATAAGTACAGAGGATGTGCCTTCTGCATTCTCATCAAAAACAGCAAATAGTGCTGGGCAACAAGGCTGTGTTCCCACTCAACAAGGCTGTTCTACAAATTTCTTTTCTAGAGAGAACAAAGAGGGGCCTGTGACAAAAGGAGTTGAATTTTCTGCAAACAATTCTTCTAAAGCATCTGCATCAAATGGAAATGATGGGGCAGATGGTAGGATGCAAACTGACTCTACTGTACCAGATTTTGGTGACAGGAAAAACCTAGGTGGTGGGGTGGATACATCAGCAGAGCCAGGTGCTGCAGGAATCCCTAGTTCACGGAGATCTTCTAGGAGAAAGGCTTGTGTTGACGCCAACAACATCCTGAATTCTCCAAAGAAAAAGAGTCGGACACTCAAAGATTGGTTCTCAAATGCTGCCTCCAGTTCTAATAAAGTGGTTGATGATAATGTTGCCCATGCTGATGGACAAGTTAGTGAACCTCATGTGTCTAGCAAAACAGACAATCAAGATAGAAGTGGTACTGTCAAAGAAGACAATAAAAGAAATAATAAAAAAACTTATGATCCACCTGCTGAGAAGCCTTGCAATACTGGGAGCATCACGTACCCTGACCCAGAATTTTTTGACTTCGATAAGTGCAGAGATGTCAAACTGTTTGCAGTTGATCAGATATGGGCACTTTATGATGACTTCGATGCCATGCCAAGATTTTATGCTAGAATAAGACATCTTAATACCACCAACTTCAGTGTTAAGTACACTTGGCTGGAGCATTCTGCAGTGAATGATGATGAGGAAACATGGACTGATAATAATCTTCCTGTGGCTTGTGGGAACTTTACATTAGGAAACACAGAGGAGTCACAAGATCCCCTCATGTTTTCTCACATTGTTTCATGGGCTAAAGGAAGAAAAAGGGGTTCTTATGTAATATATCCAAATAAAGGTGAGGTTTGGGCTCTTTATAAGGGCTGGAGTATGCAGTGGGTCTCAGATGCAGACAATCATAGATCCTATGAGTATGAAGTGGTGGAGGTCCTTTCAAACTTCACAATGGAAGCTGGTGTCACTATTATCCCCTTGGTCAAGGTTAAAGGTTTTGTGAGTCTGTTTGCACCAGCAAAGGACAAATCATCATTTGTTATATCATCAAGTGAACTACTTCGGTTTTCCCACAGTGTCCCATTTTTCAGAACAGTGGGAAATGAGAAGGTTGGTGTCCCTTGTGGGTTTCTTGAACTAGATACCGTATCCCTTCCTAGTAACCTGGACGTAGCATTTCCACCAGTTACTCTTGATTCATGTGTGCCTATCAACAAAACAATGAGCAGTGGGTTTGTTGATTTGACTGGCAACACTACACCTGGCCGTGGAAATGAACGAAGCGCTCAAAAGGGGATTCATAGAAATGTTGGGAAGTGGAGAAAACATTCCCTTCAAACTCCTCAGCAGCATAATGCCTGCCTTGCTAGCATGTCTGGTTATTCTGCTCCGCAAGGCTGTCCCTCCCCCACTGTTTTCACATATCCAGAAACAGTGTTCTACAACTTTGAAGAAGGTCGGTCATATAATAAGTTTGAACGAGGACAGATATGGGCTCTTTACAATGATTTTGATGGCCTCCCCAAGTACTATGGTTGGGTTACAAAAGTTGATTTAGATCCATTTGGAGTGCACCTGACTTGGCTGGAAGCTTGCCCTCGATCAGAGCAGGAGAATACGTGGTTAGAGCATGAGTTACCTGTGAGCTGTGGGACATTTAAAATCAAGAACTGGAGGATCAAGTATGACACAAATGACTCGTTCTCTCATGTAGTAGAAATGCAAGTTGGTTCGAAGCGGCACATTGAAATCCACCCAGAAGTAGGGGAGATTTGGGCGATCTACCACAATTGGTCACCTGGCTGGGTTCCTTCCAGCAAGGATGCTTGCGAATATGCCATTGGCGAGATAACTGAGCGCACTGAAGCTAGCACGAAAGTTTTATTTCTGACTCAGGTAGATGGCTACAGAACTGTATTCAAGCCAGACAATGAGAGGAGTATTCTGGAGGTGCCAGCAAAAGATGACTTGCGGTTTTCTCACCGGATACTCTCTTTCCATCTGACAAGAGAGAAGGGTGGCGAGCTCTGTGGCTTCTACGAGCTGGATCCTGCTGCTATTCCGGGTCCCTTCCTCTCTGGGGGTACCCACTGACTCGCAATGGTTGCTCTGAGGAAACTACGGCTAAATTACTTCCCGTCATTGAACTGGTGATGTTGCATGCTCTTCCGACACACGTTAGCGTGTCGGGGCAACTGTGGTTTGGGCCAAGCCTACCTATACATTCCACTTCGTAGGCCTCGGTGCCTTTTGTCTTGTACTGAGCATACAATTTATTTCTAATGCTGATGCCTGTGAAACTATAATCACCATTTGGTAGTGCTCTCTGCAGCCGAGAGCAGATGCAAAACAGCTACAAATTTATTATGTGTTCCAGGAACATGTTGAGTCTCAAATCCACCACTGCAAATTCAGCACTACCTATTTTTATTTGCCGTTGGTTTGTTGGCGTAATGATGCTGTAGGGGCCTAGTTGCAATGAATATGGTAATCTTGTGCAAGGAGCTAATCGGGAGGCATTCTCTGCTAAGACCATTCCCAGTGGCTAGATCCTTTTCACGGTTTCGGAGAGTGCCATTGTTAGTCAGCATGACGGGGAGAGTGCCATTATTTAGTCAAAAGAGGTGTAGGATGGTGGAATCAAAAGATTTTCACTCTTGACAATGAAAGCTAGGAGGATCTTAGCTTTGGCACATACGTCTTACACGCACTCTCAACTTCCCTCGCGGACGATTGCCCAATTATGCTATCCAACCAAAACGGACGGCCTAGACCAAGACACTTCGAAACTTTTTTTAATTACAATGTTGGATTTTATCGAGATGGCACAAGAAGCGTGCAGGGAATCAAATCCCCATAGCCACCCTACATACGATTAAATTTCAGACTTGCTACCACTGCCAAACAGCTCCGTGAGTTGGATAAAAACGGTCGGAAAACCCCTCAACCGTTTTCTACTTTCTACTTTTATATTTGAATACGAAAACCAAAGTGAAAACGGTAAATCCGGACACTAAAACGAACACGAACTTACGGAATATTGAGATTTCGAAGACGAACCAATTCGAACGGAATTATGTCGAACACGGTCGGTATACAAAAAATCAATACGAAATATGGAATACCGACCCGTAAGACTAAGTCCATAACAATTAACAAATGCATGCCCAGGGACAACAATTACCAACTGCATGATCCAGTTCAAGTGCATATAATAATTAATGACCCTTGATCTTAAGTATTAACACAATAGCCGACACCAAATACAAGTCTAGAACAAGCAGTTAACACTATTACACTAACAACTAGCAGAACATCTACAGTCATCAGCATCATCCATGATGTCAAGATCACTTTCCATGTCTTTTGCTTCCTCATTGTCCTCCTCCAAGTCCTCTTGGTCTTGGTTTGTTCCAGGAGCAGAACCACCTTCTCCAGTGGGCGCCATCTACGGGCAGGGTGGCGATGCGGCGGTGTGGCCGACAGACGCGGCGCTGGCTTGTGGCTGGAACAATGGGTGACGGCCGGCGGCTCTGGCGGAGTGGGGAGTGGGGACACGGGCGGCCGGCGAGGTCAGACTGGAGACGCGGCCGTCGCAGGGTCAGAGGCGCGGTCGCGTGGATACGAGAGGGATTAGGGAGCAGAGCGCCGCTAGGGACAGAAACCAAGGAGGCAAGGAGGAGACGGGAGTGGAGAGTAGGGTTTTTCATTGGGTTGGGCTACAGATTGGGCTGTGTAAGTCGAGAAGAAGGGAGGTGGAGAAGATTGCTGCTGGCTTGCTACCATTTAGACGTTTAGTACCACCTCGTGAGGTGAAGCGTGATGAGGCTGGGCGCCGCCTATATGAGAGGGTATCTGGCCACCGGTAGAAAGCACGCAGCCTGTGTGTAGTGGGTCAATTTGGTTTGAACCGAAAAAACAGGATATTCCAAATTAAATGTAGAAAAGTAGAAAACGGTCGAAAAATGTCTAAACTGTTTTTGTTTCGATTTTGAATTTGGTGTTCCAAATTTTGAACAGAATTCGAATTTGTTAGCAAGCCAATCAAACTCATTCACTAACCTACCATCCTCACTCGACAAGGCTGGATGAGCCTGGGCAAAAGAACCAAACGCGTCCAAATTTGTGTCCCAACTTACAAGACTTATATGTATTGAAAACAGTGTAATAAACTGTTTCGTTCCCATGGAACACATTTTACTTTTATGAAACTTTCTCTTCATTAATTTTATGTCATGTTAATATATTTGCTAAGTTCATAGCTTGCTTAATGTTCATGAAACTCTCATAAAACCCTAATAAGATTGGTCTTAGAGTGGGCTAGGAACCGTAACCTCAAAGTTGGGAGATGCAAACCCAAAGTCCTTCCACTTGAAGGTCAATTTCAGACATGAAAAAAATTCATCAAAAAGCTACATAAAATGCAAGGCTGACAGTCTCTCAGGAGGAAAAAATGGTGATGGTGCAGACCCAGTTTTCTCAAATGCTTGTCACTCCAGAACAAAGAGACCTCAATTTTGATTGGACTACCCTACACGTCTCATCTATCGACGTCTCCGTTTTAGATGTCGAGATTAAAAGTGGAGAATGTCTTGCATGCTTTGAAGCAAATGCCAAAAGATAAAGCCTCTCACTCGGACAGGTTCACTATAAACTTTTTCCAAAGTGGTGGCCTATTATTAAAACAGGGGTTACGAGAGTCTTACATACTTTTCACCCTTAGGGACACGACAACATAGAGTTTCTTAACACATCTAGCATCGTCTTGGTACAAAGAAAGGATGGCGGTGAGGGCATCTCTGACTTTAGTCCTATCAGCCTCACCTATGGAGTGGCAAAACTTATAACAGGTTTTGGCCCTTCATTTGCAACCTTTCATGAATGTTCTAATTTCAAACAGCCAAAGCGTCTTCATCAAAACTAAACCATCTATGACACTATGCTAGAAACCTCGCGAGGCGTTCCTACATGTCTAGAACACCTGCTTTGTTCCTCAAGCTAGATATAGCCAAAACTTTCGATTTAGGTGCAGTACAATTACATAATTGATATGTTACAACAACAGCATTTTCTTTTGAGCAGTGCCCCTTTCTAGATGGTGTGGTTGGATCACGGTCCTACTATACATTGTTTCATCCAAGACTCTTCTTAAATTTGTGTCCGGAAAGGACATACAACACGATCGAGGTCTTTGACGGGCGACCCCCCTTCCCCACACCTTTTCATCTTTATTGTCGACCCAACGCAAAATTTAATTGATCATCAAGCGATTCACAAGGGCCTTATCTCCAAGTTGCGTGGTAAAATGGTGTGCTTGCACTTGTCCCTTTAGTGGATGACGCGGGTATTTGTCTGACGTCTAGTGCACGAGATGTTAAAGCCATATCAGATATCTAAAATTTTCAAACGTATCACAGTACTACATACGGACACTGCAAAGAGCTTGGTGACAGCCATCCAATGCCAACGGATATACCTCTAGACTATCCTACATAGCTTCGACGCTACACATGTCGCCTTTAGGACACCCAATCACTACAGCCAGTAGAAAAACATTGATCAGATCCTCACTTATACATGGAGAACTGCAGAACAGTCTAAGAAAGGTGGACACACGTCGGATCCACGCTAAAATATGCCACTTAAAAGTCTGAGACGGTCCTTAATCATCCTCATTTCTTGGGAATTGTGGGAAGAACAGAAACAAGAATTTTCATAAAGAGAAGTGGTTCGGCAATTGAGCTAGTTGCGAAGATCAAGGATGAAGTGCGATGTTGGATTCAAGCCAAAAACAAGAGTGTTGGAGCACTACCTTATTTGGCCTAGAAACCCACTGAATAGGCACTATTGTTTAGCTCTTCTGTTTTTCTTTCAGCTCTGTTTTGTTGGCCTAGGCCTTTATCTCTTCTATATTAATTAATACATATCTGGCATGTCTCATGCTAGTTTTACGTTAGGAAAACTCATCTCCCTCTCATAATTTCTATGCCTTGTCACCATTTCTATTGACGTGTCACAAATGTATGCATTTTTAATGGATGGCTACATTGCCTGACTGATAAGGGAGGCCTCTTTTTTTTTTTTGATAAATATTGATAGCTTGTATAAACATATGTTTCCAGTCCGTCTCCGATCTTGTTTGATTCATCTCACTTTGTATGGTTCAGTTTGTTTGATTCATCTCACTTTGTATGGTTTGTATGGTTCAGTTGTTGATCATTCCAAGGTCGATCGATGTGTGCAACGCACATTTTGTGAACCTAGCAAAATTCACCAACTTCCTACAAAAATTCACATGAATTACATGAAACTCAATGAATTTTGCTGGCTAGCTCGCCTACAATGACCTAAGCCAGCTGTTAACAAAACTTATGCCTGACAGAGTTGCTTCTGAGTTCGAGTTACATTTTCCCCACCGAGACCACAAAACATCCATCATCAGAACCGAGGACATGTTGAAACAGGCTCATTATACACAGCACTTGGAACAATCAGAGTAACGAATTAAAGCATACATCTTTGCTATGTCAATCCTGGAAAACACCTGTAGTGGCGATCCAGACCAAATGTCTTTCAATCAAAAGTGACACTGAAAGCACAACATTATAGAGATAACTCTTAAATCCTTCATGCTCATCGTATTCCACAAGGTAGTTTAATTCCCGAGTAGTATATATATACAGGTGAATTGCTAGCTATTAAACGGAGACTCTCTTCATGGTATCTTCACTACTGAGCTCATTTTGATTAACAGATTTTGTATCAACCTCGATCTCAAGAAGGCCCCCAACAGGTTGCCTGCATATGGGACATTTGTTGCTCTGCAGTCTTAGAAGTTGAGCACACTCCCGGCAGAGACACTGGAAAAAGCACAAAACATCATTATTCACTTATTCTCTTGAATATTAGAGTTGAGCCCTGCAGTTAGGCTAGTTTCACGTTTGAAAGCCTTTTATCAATTTCACTGACTACAAAATGAGTTACTTTTGCACAACATCCTACGGCAGAAAAGTAAAACTAGTATTGTATCTGGAGAAGAATGAAATAATTGTAAAAAATGTAGCCCATATCATATTACAAGTCACATTTGATCTCACTTATTTGCTTCAATGAGAGAACATAAAGAATCTTTCCTCATAACCAAAAAAAGTCATGAAATTTGGAAGATGGCATAACAGGTTTACAGGGTTTAGCTGTGATTTTACAACGCACATGGGAACAGTAAAATGAGAGTGCGCTTTCATTTAAAATCAGTTTTGTAGGCCTAACTCCCAAGTATTATGAATTGATCTTGATTCATATAGAGGATACTCAGTATGATAGAATAGCTTACCATATGCCTGCAAGGAAGAACAGTTGTATCTCTTGGTTCTGAGAGGCAAATCACACATTCTTTCCCAGATTCATCCTCAAGATTGTTCCCATCAGCTGTGTTGCCAATACCATATATCTCCTGCAAAACATATCTAGTACCATTGACCCACAAGATCTGCTGCATAATACGAACACCATATTCAGCATTGTCTTTCCTCACAAGCACAGCAAATTTAACCAGGCAATTTGATGCCTCATGCTCAAGTGCCCCTTCCGCTTCTAATTCTTGGTTGTTTGGCACAGCCACGTCCACTTTGAATGCAACAGGGAATACACCACCTTCACCAATCTTTGTCAGCTCAGATTCCTCAGACTGAGAGACATCGATTCCGGTTCCATATGGTTGCTTGAACTCCTGATTATGACCTTTGTTGAAATCTGCTGTCACAGGTTTGAGTAAGTTTTCCTTTGTAGCCTTCAAGATAAGCTCTTCATCTTCTTGTGCAAAGTAGTAAACAGTTATGCTATTTGCAAGATGAATATCATGTCAGTCTTGTAGTTACAACAGCATGCCAATATGACAGAAAATTATAAAGCCACGAGTGAAAGTTGAGAACATAATAATACAGAAACTAGGGGTAAACACAACTAAGCACTCTGAAAGGATATGAAGAAATGTAGTAGTAACAAAGTGTAACCTAAAAAAGAAAACAAGAAAACCAGGCAGGAATCCAACACAGGAAGAATAGAACTGTATGATTTGGGAAGGTAACAAAAACTACAGACGCAAGTTCCACCTACAAGTGCATGGCCAACATACTATGCTCAGTTGAGCCTAAGACTGTCCACAACGTGAGTTATTTACGATGCTTGCAAGCCAATTTTGCCTTTTAGCCTCGATGCAACTCACTGTGGTATGCGATGCTGAAAAAATGATTCCAGACATTGATGCATCTACTTTACTCGATGCTTGAAGATTGAAATGGCTCATAGGCCCACATGACAGCAGATGTGGAAGGACTTGCCAGACACAAGGCTCGTACATTTTCTGCTTGTTTGTTTGTAACAAATGGGGTCCACATTGATGCTTACACGTTGTAGGTAGAGCTGAAATGGAGCATCGGTGATTCAATGTTGTTTCGAGCATCGAACACGCCGTGGACAGTCTAACACATCGTGAGTTCCGCCTCAATACCCAGTGCAGATAACTAAGTTCGAAATATATAATAATAAAACTCTCGTGACCACGTTGTTAAAGAGACAGTCTTTCTTTGGTTTGGCCCACCGATTTACAATTGTTCTCTTGTTACTTTGTTCAACTTCCATTTTTTTTCTCACTCAACACCAAGCTGCTATGGACCCAACATGCTGCAGATTAATTAAAATTTATGCAAGAAAGAACAAGTGAAAATTGAATCATTTAGAGAAGTAAGAGCATCTCCAAGAGTATCCTATTCCAAGAGTTTCTAATAATCCACTCCTAAAAATAGAAGACAATTTTACATCAAGATTCCTATACTATTTCTAAACTATCGTAACCACTTTTATATATTTTTTCTCTCTTTCGTACATTTGCATCAGGAACCCTTTCCTACTCCTTATTCTTTACCACACCCTTACACCTTTAGATTGACCGACAAATACGCACGGGAAAGCAGTATCCGCACGACCTCTACTACGCGCAAAGTTACGCGCGACGGGGGAGGATTTCCCAAGTGCGTAAATTTTAGGAGCATGGATGAGGAGTTGTTGGAGAGGGGTTTTTTCTCATCTTGTTAAAAACTATGGATTGGGAAGGGAAATAGGGTACTCTTGGAGATGCTCTAACCGCATTCTTTTAATCAATCGAGATGGACGATTTGTTCAATCAAACAGGAGCACATGACCGAATGAGCCATGTCTCTAATAACATTTTATTGCGGCCATCTACTCTGCAGAAATTCAGCACGGTAATAGTATAGTAATCTCTACTCTGCAGAAATTCAGCACGGTAATAGTATAGTAATCTCGAGATAAGGATCCCAATACACGGCCATGTCAAATACATTTCCACAATTTGAAGTAAGAAATCAAGATTCCAAGAAGTAGTCTAGTAGAGACGGAGGGAGGAAGGGGAAAAAGCAGCGAACCATCCAGGGGCGTCCGCGTCGAAGGAGAAGGCGAGGAGGAGGCCACGGTCGTCATCATCGTGTTCTAGCCGCAGGGAGTCCCCCTTGATATTGACGCCGGCGTGCACCGCTACGGCCCTGTGCCGCTCCACCTGCGCTGGCACCCCTAGAGGCGGCGGCATAGCGGCGCCCGGGGGCCATCCGGGGTAGTGGTGGTAGTACGTGGGGCGCACCCCTTGTAGATGGGCCTGGAGACCAGGCGGCGTTGGCGGTGGCGGTGGCGGTGGCGGTGGCGGTGGACGAGAAGCGTCGCTTCTGCTCCCGAGGTTGCCCATCGTCAGTGCGTCGTCTCCTGCTGTGGTTTTCTTGTTTAGGTTTCCCTGCTAGTGCCTCTCGGGTCTCGCCGAGGATGGCGATCCATTAACTTTAGTTGGAGTTCGACTTGACTGAATTTCAAACCTTTTTTAATACTCGTTTCGTTCCAAATTATAGACGGTTTTGACTTTTTAATTGATTCATTTTGTTTTGTTCCTAGACATATTATTACGTTTAGATATATAGAAAAATAAATGTACAAAAAATAATCAAAACGATTTATAATTTGGAACGGATGGAGTAACATTGATCCTTAATTTGATTCTAGTAGAAAAAAATCTAAATAACCTAACTAAGAACATCTCCAATAGTCTTTTCTCTATATCTATATCTATATATTAATCTATATCTTCTATATCTATATCTATACCTAATAATAAAGAGACAAAATTTCCAACTATTTTTTTTCATCCATTTTTTCGTCTACCTCCTCTTAACTAGTGCAGTCGAGAATTTCTTCCGTCTAGACTTATATGATCCGTGCTCATACGAGTTATAATAGCTCTTATGTAACGCGACACTGAGTCTAATTCCAAAACGTATTCTTAAGGTAGCCTAGATACCTACGAATCCTAATAATCCAAATATATCTTAATATATCAATAGGAATTTTAAACCAAATAGAAAATGATAAGAGTATAAATCTATTTCTAATATTAAACCACAATGAGTAGAATTTTTTTGTTTTTTCTTGAAATCTGGAGACCCTGTGCGTCAGGAAGAAGGGCTCCTGGTCGGTCATACATTTTTTTAATTTCTGAGCCTGAGTCCTTATCGGTCACCTATGTTTTCCGATTTCCTTTTCCTCTTCGGATTTTTTTTTCGATTGCTTTCTCTCTTTTTCTCCTGTTCTAGTTACGTTTAATTATGTTTTATTTTTCCATTCCGTTTTCTTTATTTTTCACATCACATTCAACTAAGCGTCACGTGTTTCCATTCTATTATTTTTACTTTTCATGTTCAACTAAATGTGAGTGTGAAAATACAAATAAGTATATAAATAATAAAAATAAAAATAAAGAATAAAAACTGTTGGGGAGGCCTCCCCGGCACCGCTCCTCCCCCGGCGCTCGGCCTATTTCTGGCTAGACTAACCTACCTCGCTACGGATTCTAACCCTCACGGCGAGGGTCTCCTGTATGCCATATTTCATCCGTGTGTTCAGGTGCCGGACGCAAAGGCCCGCCTCGTCGGAGGAGTGCGGCGAAAGGAGAGCAGGTCGGTGACGCCGGGCCGACCCTCGGCTGGGACGCACGAAGGTTTGGTGCCTGCCGCGGGGGAAACCGTCTTGGCGGCGGCGGCGGTTCTGTCAAGGTGGTTACAGGACGGTTGCAAGAACCACCACCAACAACAAAGACCCTCCACCCTGCAGCGTGCGTGGGGGGAGACGGTTGCAGGAACCTCCGCAGACGGAGGAAGAGGCGCCACCCTACCCCAGCCCACCGCGCGGCCGACGGAGGTCACATGTGACCTGGAGATACCCCTTCCAGCTAGGGCCGAAACCGACCCTTAACCCAGCCCAGCTAGAATCGACGAGGCCGACGTGGTACATCAAGATGACGATGAAGACGCTGAGGAAAGGGGCCTCGGAGCCCTGAACCAAATGCATGGGGAAATTCAAGAAAAAGGCGTCGAGTCGAGGCCCACGGAAGACAAGCACGTTTGCGTGTTATTAGTGTTTACACCAAAATTTAGGAAGAGAGGAACGCGGAAACTCGAAGTTTCCAAGATTATATCATCAAGGGATCGATCAGATGTGAATCGATATCAGCCGGTTTTGATGCGGTATCGAAAATCGGCTATTTTATAGATGACGTCAGCAGATAACATCAACGGATTACGTATAGATGGCGTCGAGGGAGGAAAATATGCCAGACTCTAAAAAAAGGAAAGGATTAGGGTTCAAGTTATCTTAAATTAGGAATGTTTTCTTTTATTTCAAAGATTGTAATAAGTCGTGTTTGAGTAGGATTCATGTTTAAGTTCTGGGTATAAATATTGGGCCCTGGCTATTGTAAGAGACATCCAATCAATTAATACCAATTACTTTTTTTGCTTCACGCCAGGCGAGTTCTACAATAAGTAGGGCTGCATTGATCCGGTCGACCTCCGACTTGTCTGTAAGTACCGTCATGGCTTATACTTTTGTTTGTAAGGCTGCATCGGTCCGGCCGACCTCTTACGAGCTTTAGTATAAGTTAGTTATCGATCCTTATCTAGTTCGAGTATGGCTGCATTGGTTAAGTTCGACCTCCACTACTCGAATTAGATTAATGTCAAGTTATCGGTTCTATCTAAGGGTGGTATCCTTCGGGTAGATTCATTAAGTTACCGATCTTGCTAATGTTCTTGTTGTCATTAGTTTCAGCAATATTAACCTGACCGATCGAGATAGATCTAGATCGGCCTCACATCCTTTTAGTCCATCGTTTATTTTGTCACATTGCGATGGTTCTTACTTTAAACAACGGATTATGTTTTATCGACCATTCTATTTCAATCTTGATCGTGTATAGTACGCGACTAAGGCATGTCTGATCTTGAGAAGGTTTACTAGCTAGTTGAATCTGGTCTATAGCTTGCTTTTATGGCTGTAACAATCCGGTCGATTCCCACTATTAGCACTTTAAATCGGAGTATGCTAGTTAGTAGATTTGCTTTCGACCAGGCGTGACCTTGGCTGTTTGCTATGCCTGCATCGGCTAAATAGCCGATTGCCCATAATTTAACACTTATAGTGTGTCTTCATGATTCTGTTAAATGTGAATAGATCTGTTTATTTTAAAGGTTTGATCTATCATCTTTATCATGGCTGCAATCGATCCGGTCGAACCCCACTGTTAAGGATAACAGGTTTGATTTGATGAGTTTATAGATCTGTCCATATTAAACAGTCGATTGTTCATATGCTGTAATCCCTTTTTTACCAGAATTGACTATTTTAGCCGATTCGCCTGTGCTTTTACAGATATGGCACACTTTCATGAACCTGTTGAAGTATGGTCGGTTCTATTGATTTTTTGGTTCCAGACTATCATCATCATCATAGCTGCATCGATTCGGTCGAACCTCACTGTTGACGATAATAGATTAGATCTAAATAGTTCATAGATCTGTCTATATCGAACAGTAGATTGTTTGTGTGGCATATCCCTTTTCATCAGATTCATTGGCTCCACCACGTATTGATCAAATCTAATTTAGCCAGTGATGTATCTTTGATGCATACATGTTAATAGCTTAAGGGAAATGATCATTAAAACTGGGTGCATTGTATTCGTTACTATAAAATCAATCATGACCCGCGAGCGTTACAGTCCTTAACAGACGATTTCTTCCCGTATCGGCTATTTAGTCGATCTTCCCATCTAGCTGCTTCCGAAGCGACACACTTGGAACTGTCTGGGCAAAACCAGCATGTTCCACCCTAAATTGTTGATAAACTTTCTCTCCTTGTCAATCGTAGGTCAAATTGACTAGCACGCCCTTGGGAATTCGCAGGATCGACTGGTCCTACGTTGCAGCCAGGCAGATCTCCAGATTATTCCAACTTGCTGCGTGTCCACCCGGCGCGGCTACCACGTTGTTATGTCGACACGTGTTCTGGCACGCTCGGTGGGATGCCACAATCGTCATGGCAACTCACAACAATAGTGACATTCTTATGGTGCCTTATGAAGACCTACCTGATAAGGATAAAGATGTCATCAGTAAAGCTATAGAAGAATTTTAGAATAAGTATTTGTTGTCCTACACCAAGACATGTGACAATAAATTTTATTCAGAAATATCCACTACCAAGAGTTTTGATGCATGGGCAGTCAGATACAGACGAAGCTGATGATAGGTGTTTCTTCGTAGATGCTGTAAAGAAATCTGTTCATGATGTCATGTTAAACCATAATACAGCTTTCTTGAACACATTCCACAATACCATGAAAGAGGTGTTTTATGGATGTCTAATTGATCAGGTTGGACCAGCTTATTACAACATTCCACATCCGTCGACTTAGGAGACTAATCAAGCTGGTACTAGCCATCAAGAAGCAGCACTAACTGGTAATGACGATGTCCCGACAGTTCAGAGCTCATCTTAGCAAGTTCAAGGTACCACTACTAATCAAATACAAAATAATCCTGGATCATCAGTGCAGTATGTGCAACAGCCAACGGAGCAAGTTTAGAATTGTAACATCCTAGGTGTTAAGCTTGCATAATTTGACTTGCATTGCATGAGCATGAGCATCAAGCATTCATATTTAAGCTTTTACATTTGAAACATATGTTATTTTTTGTTTTCTTTGTATATGTTTATGACCATGAGTGAATATATGTAAATGGTTGATGAGAGTCACTAAAACGTCTTAGCAACACTTAGGATGACTAATGGAACATTGTTCATGAAGATCACTTTGACTGATTAAGCTCTTAAGTAATGCTATGTAGAAAGTGAAATGTGTAACCAATGTATGAAATATTTGTGTAACCTTAGGAATAGCTTAAACATGTTTAGAATATTATTATTAACAACTTTGGTATTCATGACTAAGGCTAATTTGGTCACTAAGTCATAGTTCAAGTGTATACCATCATTTGAATATAGCATGTTTGACCTAGTTTGAACTATATGATAGAGACTTTGCATGGCAGTGAACCTTTAAGTAAAGTTATAGTATTCGAGTAGAGCAATAACTTTTATTTTTTGGGTCATGAGCTAATTATGTGCATAGATTAGTCTTTTTGAGCTCACAAAAATCAACAATTCACTGATTTCCAACACTTAGAAAATTTCTAAGTCTTTATGCTTTTACAGTTTTGTCGTGCCGACTTTGGGATGAGCTAATTGTAGCTGGTACTTAGGGCTACGAGTTTTGTTCAGTTGGTTTGCACTAAGGAGCTACGGATTAAGAGTTTGATCGCTAGCAAATCGCGTCATCAAGTCGGCCTGTCGAACACTGAT